TTTTATAAATATGTTTATATATGTGTATAATTTTTATGAATGTATATAATTTTTAAAATTTATTTTTATTAATATTATTTTTTTATTTTTTATTAATTAATATTATTAAATATTAAGAGTTGATGATGTGGCATGTGACTAGGATGTCATGTCAGCATTAAATAATATTTTTTTTCGTTCAGGATTTTATTTGCCAATTTTTAAAAGTAAAGAGTTTTAATTACCAATTTTTAAAAGTACAATATTTTTTTGGATAAAAAAAAAGTATAGGGTTTAAATTGCGACGAGAGAAAAATATAGGGTTTTAAATGGAATTATCCTTTTTTTCTTGTTAATATGTGTAATATTTAGCAAAAAAAAAAAAGGTTCACCTCTAATGGGCCCACATATTAGTGTGCCAATCCATTGTGGTCGAAGCCCAGTCAATGTAATATGGATCATGTTTATTGAAGATTATGCAGTGGCTCAACAAAGAAAAAAAGCACTATGGGCCCAACACTAAGCCCAAACATGAAACCACAAATCCCAAGGCCCCACTATAAGCCTTTAAAAAAGCCCTATGGGCCTAGTGTAAAATGGGCCATCTTTAATAAAGTTTATGCAATGACCCAAAACGACAGGGGCAATATGGGAATATACATATGTATAGAGATAATTGTCGTAGCTCTTTCAATGATTATATCTTCAATGAAATTGACCACTATAAATGACGATATATATGAAATGCATTTGGACGCCCCTTGTCTTTTTTTTGTTTGTTTTTTTGTCTTTTTTATAGTGGTCCATATTACAAAGACCAGTTATTCATTATTCTTATAGTTATAAATTTTCGTTTATATTACTTCATGTGTTTAATTTTAAATATTATTTTTATATTATATTTTTTATTATTTATATCTTACTTATTGCGAATTTACTAATATGTGGATTGGATTAAAAGCGAATATATGCCCCGATAAAGATTAAAGATGGCGTGGGGCTAAGACCAGACCGAATTTACGGCCCCTATTGTTAGCCAAAGCAAATTAAGAGACGAGCCGCCACATGCGACCCCTTCTAGAACCGCACCTCACGCGCCGTCGTATGGTGGCGCCGATCACGTACTTCTCCCGTAGTAAAATGACATATATACTACGAATCTAATATATATATATTATGATCTTTTAATACAAACATTTGCAAGATAAATAATAACTTTTCATATTAAACCATCGTATAATTATTTCCTGATTAATACAATGCGTATATATGCATGTGGAAAAGAAAATACATTGCATGTTAAATCTAACCCTCTGCGTCATGTCAATTGTCAATTCTATATAATTATTTAAATATTATTATTTTTGTCGAACTAATTTGAAATAACTGGACTCTGTTTCTGTAATGCAAGCTAAGTAAAAAGGGTATAAATTTTGGAAACCGGCATTAAGATCTTAATCGGAATTTCGGTCATTATGGAGGTTTTGTTTGCCAACTTTGACCGGTCTAAAGATGGAACTAAGTTGACCACTTTCTAGTTTCTATAAATAGAAGCCATATCCAATGTCCAAAACACAACACAACACAAAATGGAAACTTCATCATTCCCCTTAGCTCTCTCCCTCTTCTTCTTCCTCTTACTTGGCTCACGGGCCAAAGTCCCTCCGGCCGAACAGTTCCAATTCACCAACAAGGGTGGTTTTCTCGATTACAGCCCGATCGAGTATGGTGCCACGGTCCGAGGATTCTTGCCCGTCAACGACAATTTCCGCCTCTCTTTCTACAACACAACCCCCAACGCTTACACTCTCGCCCTCCGTATGGGCAACCGAGCTCAAGAATCCACTCTCCGGTGGGTTTGGGAAGCAAACCGTGGAAACCCGGTTCGCGAAAACGCGGTCTTGACCTTTGGCGAGGACGGGAACCTCGTCCTGGCCGAGGTCAATGGCCGTGTGGCTTGGCAGACGAACACTGCCAACAAAGGCGTTGTAGGGATCAAAGTGTTGGAGAATGGTAACATGGTGTTGTATGATGCCAAAGGGAACTTTGTATGGCAAAGCTTCGATTTCCCTACCGACACACTTCTCGTCGGACAGTCTCTTAAGGCCAATGGTCGGAACAAGCTCGTGAGCAGGTTATCCAGGTCGGTGAACGTCGATGGACCGTACAGCTTGGTGATGGAGCCCAAGAGACTCGTTTTGTACTACACGA